CGGGGGGCGGGGCCCGAAAAAAAGGGGCGGGCTTGAATCTTTTCCCCGAGCAGACGCTGCTTCCCTTGGGTCGGATCCTGCCCGCCGCCCCTCATCTTCACCACGGCATTCACCCAGCCTAGGGGTGGGTGGGGGGTACTACTGTCCTCTCCTCCCTCCCATCCCGGCCGAGGATGATGGGCCCTGCAGCCGCTCCCCACATCTCGCGATTTAGGCGCACGCGCTCCCCTTGGCTGAGCTGCGGGACTGGCGCTGGATCCTGGGCGGGGAATCAGCCGAGCAAATTTCTAGTCCTCATGAGGTCCGGAGAACATCGGAAGCTGTTTCTCATCGCAGACCATCGCTCTCTCCAAATGGCGTTGTCCATCTCAGGCAAATTTTTCCTACTTGCCTCCTCCCCTGCCTTCTAGGAACACCGCCTTTCCCAAACCCAGAAACGAGATTTCACCAGTTTGCACTGTCAGAGCTCCAGACTTGGCTGTTGGGGCCCAGAGTATGGCCGGCTGTTCTCCTGAGCATACACCAAGTGCATTTTCAGGCCCAGATCTCTAGGGCCGACGAGAGGGCTTCCAAAGATTCTAGCCAGATAAAGCCTGGGTTCCCCATTCTGGCAGTTACCGTGCAACTGCTGAGCCTCAGCTTGGATCCTAGTTTGTTTTAACGATCGTGAATTAAAACAAGCTACAACCGCCCAACATTTGCTGTGAGAATTGTGAGAAAAGGGGGAAAAAAGGAGGAGAGAGAGTCTTGCTCATTCCCACAGAAGTAAAGTACAGGCCCAGGGTCCCATTCAGATACCCAAACAAACCATGTTATGTTTCTACTAACCATGGTCGCCTGCTTCCTTCAAGACCAAACTTTACAATACAACAGATTTACCTTCATTCCTCACCCATTCATATCTAATGCAAGAAGCAGGGGAAGAGTTGTTTAACGTTAAAAATGGGAAAACCCAGCAGAGAACTAAACCCTCCCCTTGTGATATTTTCTGGCTCTCTGTTCCTGGGAGAGGGCAGAATGGAAAACGCTAATAAAAATAAAAAAGGGCCGGTTCCCACATTGTGCTATATCCATAGTTTGCTCTACCCGTAAGTCTTGACTCGCACCAAAATTTCACTAGTCCAAAATTCTCCATCCTACGTCCATCCTGTTTTCTAAGCTATGATGTAGTGGCTGAGCTACACATTACACTCAGCCAAAACATGTCCCTGTGAGATATGGATACAGGAAGGGGTACCATCTCAAGCAACATTGTTCTTCAGTGGAAGGGTGGTATATAATCAAAGTAATTATAAGAATAGGTGATATGTTTCTCTTTTGCCTTGGCAAAAAGCAAGCCAGCATGAACACAGCTCTCAAGTCTGTTTTTAAGAGGTTACTGTATATCCAGAAAGCGGAGGTTTTCTTCCAGATGAATTCACACCTTTCACACACAATTCTGATCTTGGAAAGCAAAGGATAAGCTAGCAAAATGCTGCCATCTATTGGCTAAAAAAAGTCTTTTTTAATCTGATTTTCCTGCCTCTCTCCCAAAGCTATACAGGCGGACCTCACATAGCAGTTGCCTCATTTAGTGACCATTCAAAGTTACAACAGTGCTTAAAAAACACAGTGACCAGTCCTCACACTTACGACCATTGCAGCATCTCTCTGCTCTTAGTTTCACTTGCTTATTTACCCGATACAAAGATATCCTCAAAGAGAAAGAGAAAGAGCCCCAGTTCAGCTGAAGGAAGTAGCAAGCAGCAAAGGAAAACTGAAATAAAATCGTAAGCACCATCACAGTCACGTGATCTTTGCTTAATTACTCCTAAATGCATCCAAGCAAACGCTCGCTTATTGCAACGCCGGCGAGAAAGAATCCAGGAGTATCTTGAAAGATGAAGCTGTTCCTTCTGCCACAAAGACATGTGGGGGTACTGGATTTGGCTGTCTCTCAGGTGGCATGAAAACCCTGGTTGCCTGTCCATTCCCCCCCCCCACTTCTTTTAAAATTGTGCTACACTCAAAAGTTGTGACTCCGTCTAGATCCTGTAAGAGAGAATTCTGTCTCTGTGGGGCCATGATCTTTAAGTCCCTGTCCATGGTACTTGCCCATCCAACCGTCCACTTAGGGCTTCAGAAAGAGATCTCAGATCTCTTGAATTCCCTTGAATTCAGATTCAAGGAGATACTGCCGTTCCTTCCCATATATGGATCCCCAACTGTGTATCTTTGGCTGGTATCTTCCCCTTCGAAGGAGGAGTAGCACAAGGGAGCCTCAGGATTGGAGAGGTCAGGGCCCCCTTCTCTGAATCCAGGTTCAGCTCCAGGCCACAAACTCAGGACTGAGAAAATGCGTTATTTCCCAGCAAGAAAGAAACGTCCGCCCCACTGCGATTGCCGCCTTTGCTCAAAACTGCCTTCTAAATAAATTCACGAAGAAAGGCACGGTGGCCTTTTTACATCTTTGCCCGTTAGTCTATGACTGGTAATACTTCTTCTGAACCAGACTCTCTTCTTGGGAAGAAAAAAGAAGTAGAAAGAGAAGGGAGCTGAGGATAGAAAGAAGTCAATTATTCCAGTTTACGGCTGGGCTCATTCTCTTTTTCAGATGCCCAGCTCCCTTTGTGGTTTCAGCCTCAGCCCCTTCCATCTTTTCTCAGTGCCCCCAAGCTTGGATGTCTTGGAAAAATGCAGGCAGACGAAGACGGCGCTACAGCCTGGCATGGTCTGACCCGCGGCTTTTCTTCTGCCAACCCAAGGATCTGAGCCCTGGGCACGCACCAACCTCGCAGCTTCTTCGCTCGCTACCCGGAAAGATATTTCACGACATCGCTGCTCCGCCCAAAGGGGGAAACAGAAAAGAGAAACCGAACTTAATTAGGCTGTCTTTAAAAAAGGGGGAAAAAGAAAGAAATCCTGCTTGCATGTCTTTCGGTGGGACTGCAGAGGGCAACACTGCATCGAAGCTGCCGAGAAATACAGCTTTATCGCTAAGCAGGGAGCAGCGGCTGCTTTTAAAACAGCCAACCAAGTGAGAAATCTCAGAAGCCCATCATCCTGAATCAAATCTACTGGGGTATCTTGCCTAGTGACTCTGCCCAGCCTGAACACATCAATACTTAGCCGATTCCTCCACGGTGAGGCACGATTCACACCTGCAAACGTCTTCCGCGTTGACCGTGTTGGGGAGGAAGTCCTAAAAATAAGGATCTGGCTACAAAATGTTACTTAGGGTAGCCCTTCCCAGATTGGGTGTCTTCTGCATTTGTGGGACCAGAATCCCCAGCCAGCACTAGGGGAGTTGTAGTTCAACATATCACAAAGATGCTGCACTGGAAAAGCTGGTTGGTAAACCAGGACTGATGGCTTAGCGTGTTGGGTGTCCCCCACCAGAAGAGATTTATTCAATAAACCACTTCGCGCAGTGTGCGAATCCAGAATTTTTCTTCTTTTCCTGCACGCCACCCCAAACGGATTCCTGTTTTTGCCTTCCAAACCTTTCTCTCTCCAGCCTGCTCTTTCAGCCAAATACCCCAGCATCTATTCAGGGTGCTTGGAAAGCAGGGGCTAAAATTTGAATTCAAGGGATCCTCCCAGGGTGTCACAGGAAGCAAGAAGCTGACATATTCCCTGAAGGATGCTAAAGAAACTTCTTTTCCGGGTCTTCTCTCTTCCCCTCCTGCGGTTCCAAAAAATCAGAAGGTAACGGGCAGATTCAAGCATGCAGATTTAAAATATACTCCGGACTTCTGCTAAACTCATTTCTGTCTGCGGCTCCTCTCACATGTCTGCTCTTTTTGAAAGAGCCAAGAGCTATTTTTGCCATGTCAGAATCGAGCTATTTTTAGGTAGCACTTTTTTTTACAAAAAAGGCATGACTTGTCTTCCTGTATTTCCTGTTACACACACACCCTTTCGTATTGTGATGCTTCCTCTCTCCTCTGGTTCCTTTGCCAGATACGGTACACGCCATCGGAGATTTTTCACTCTCCAACCCAGGAAAACACAGGCAGTTATTTCACCCAGGGCGGCTGGAAAATGCAACTATGATGATTATTTCATAACAAGAATGAACAACAGAGTGTTTATCCCCACAGGAGGAGACCAATTGTGCATAATTCTGGGCTTTCACATCATTGATCCGAAGCACATCTCGGAAGCGGGATGGAGAGCAAGGATCTTCTCCTGCTTGTTCCTAGCAAGCGTCATGTAAAGGTTGACTGCCCTTCCACAAGGAGGTTCAACTCTTGGCTATTATACGTTTGTAAGAAGACTCTTCTTGAGTCAAATGATAGGCCAAGCCCTACCATCACCTCTCCAGCCTAGGTTCCCAGCAATATGCCTGGAAATTATTAATATTTAGTTAGTTTAATCAGCCATTTTGGCAAAAGTGAGCAAACAAAAACCTACCCAGCCTCTTCTAGGCTGGAGGAAAACTTTGAAATCAATTTCCATCTGACACAGATCCCTGGCACGCCACCTTCCATACAGCTTGCACTTTAAGGAAGAAAGGAAAGATTTAGGTCTCCCCGATTATTCTTCCCCGCAAGGTGCTTTTTCACAGTGCCTTTAAACTGGGGGCAAAAGTCTCTTTCCTCCCCCCGCTCCCCAAAGGTCCACCCTGTAGCATCTCGACTGATTCTTCACTTCAAAAAGACAAGTTTTCTCTCCGTTACATTTTTTTCCCTGCCCCAATGAATTCCTCCACTTAAAACATACACACACAAACCAATGGTGCAGCAAAGGGACGGACGCTGGAAACGCTTGGGCTTAGCGGTCTGAAGT